TCTGCATTCAGGTGCAGAATTCTGCAACCCAAATGCAGAATTCTGCACCCGAATGCAGAATTCTGCGCAGAATTCTGCACCCGAATGCAGAATTCTGCACAGAATTCTGCATCCGAATGCAGAATTCTGCAGAACTGACCTAGTCCCAGGGGACCTATCGATGATACCTACGTAACTTTCAGCAAGTAATATAACATATTCTAGAATATTAAGTCTCCTTTTCAAACTATGTCTTAATGGTGAAAGGTAGTCCGGAATTAGAGTGTCAGTCCGGAATTAAAGTGTCGCCTGTTGAATATTTTTCTGTCAATCAAAGTTTAAGATATCTCTCTTCTCACTCTTCTCATCTTTTGTGGCTGATAGTTTCTTCCAGCTGATTTTACACAGACATGTATTCTACACAATGCATCTTTGAACATTGCAATGTTTGATGTGTTGTCCATTCTAAAATGATACAGATAAAATAATGTGGCTTCTGATAAAAGTTTGATAACACAAATCTGATTATCATGAAAGTTCATCTGTGTTGGTTAATTCTAGTATGATGTTGAACTTTATTCCAACACAATGAGTGCAGAGAGATCAATTTTTCAAAGACCACTGTTGTCTTCAACATGATGATAAATTAATAATGACAAAATCTTTGTTTTTGTTTCCCCAGACTCTACCGGCCAGGGTGCTGGAGGCAGTGGTACGGATGCAGGACAGATTCGAGCGACTGCGCCCATGTGGAGATGTTCCCGTATCATGCACATGCAGAGAGACCTGCACCCCACGCTGCTGTCTTCTCTAGAGGGAATTGTCGACCAGGTGTGTGCTTGTTTGTTTGTTTTTTGTTTGTATCTTTATGCGCACACACAGTGGTTAGGAAAACCACTGGCAGAAGACAAACACAGACACAGAGACAGAAATAAGCAGAAGAGACTGATACTGAAGAGCTTTCATGGTCCCTGACACTCAAATACAAGGACAAGGAAGGTACAGGTACAGCGCGCTTAGTGGAACATGCACCTAACACTGTACATCGGTTTATTTGTTCAAATCTTTATGCACATGTAGACTGCACCCAACAATCATGTCTTTACTTGAGGACATTCCAAGTGAAGCCAAGTTCTTGTCCATGCTTGTACATTTTCAGTGGTTCAGTAAAGTTGTTCAAATGCTGAAATGTAAATTACTGTAATAGTGTAAGGTTTTAGAACTAGCCTCTAGAACTAGAACTATTTCATTTGTCCCAGGGTCATGGCCCATATTAAAGAAATATATAAAGTACCTTTAAAACACAAAATAGAACTGACTATATCCTCCCTATAAACTAAGATAGAATGTAGGATACTGCCAGGATTTGATGATACAACTCTATAGTTAACATAAATTTGAGGATACAACTCTATGTAACTACGGCAACTATAGAACTAAGCTATCAGGAGTCCAGGTGCATGTTGGGAGGTCGGGAGGTCAGAGTTTGACCCCCAGGCGACGACCTTTGCTGCCTTATCGACCCGTTTTTGGAGGTCGTGGCTCAGAAGGCAATAAAGAAACAGGAAGTCAGTAACAGGCTTGTGTATACAGTAATCGTAGGGTGTGCTATAGGGCAGGATGAAATTAATAACTTGTTTGTATTGCTTGTCTCTTGCCTATACACTGTAGCTTATTATAGGGCAGGATGAATTCAGTAACAGGCCTGTGTATACAGTACTCGTACTGATTCAGAAGCTTATAGGGCAGACTGAAATTTATAATGTGTTTGCCTGGCTTGTGTCTTGCCTTCTAAGTTCTATGACTGGTTTGTAAAAACATTAACATTGAATTTCCTACTTGTTTTTCCTTCCACGTGATAAGTTCATGCTGAAATGTCAAATTTTAAAGTGTCTCTGCTGAAAGGCTGTAGGGTCAGCTGAGTCGATTCGTTGAGATATATTTAAGCCTGGCGAGCCTAGAAATAATACCACCATGTCCTCTCAGACATACAAAGCACAACACAGTGCCTGTCTCTGGTGCTGAACTGTTCACTTTTATCATGTCTTCTGCTAAAAGGCTGTAGGGTCATTATAGAGTTTGTTACTCGACGATAGATTAACTCCTGGCTACTCTAAATGCCATCATGTAGATCTAACCGTACAGGGCATGGTACAGTCCCTGTCTCTGGTGCTGTTTACGGTTATAACTGTATCTTCTAAAAGGATGTAGGGTCATCACATTAGATCCTGTGATATATACATGTCCAAATGCCATCATGCCTACTTGGCCATACAGATCACTGTACAGTGTCTATTAATAGTGTCTTCTGCTTAAAGGCTGTAGGGTCATTAGAGTTTGTTGGTGATAAATGAAATCCTGGCTGCTTTAAATGCCATCACCTAGATCTAAGCATTCGGAACATGGGATGGTGCCTCTCCCTGGTGCTGAACTGTTTGTGGTTAGTGGAAGTGGGGGTTGTCATACTACATCCTGTGATTGATACATGTCCAAATGCCATCATGCTTCCCCAGCCATACAGATCACAGTATGGGTCCTGTCCCTGGTGCTGAACTGTTTTAGGTCTTATAAAAGGATGTGGGGTCGTCATAGTAGATGCTGTGATAAATGTATGTCCCAGTAAGTGTAAATACCATCATGCCTTCCCAACCATACAAGACACAGGATGGTTCCTGTTCCATTTCACTGGCTTTTGAAAGCATGGAGGGTTATGGGACTTGATCCCATCCTAGATATACCAATCTAAATGGCAACCATTGGAGCACAAAAGAGTGTCTTTCTCTGGTGCTGAACACTTCACTCTTTGAGGGATGGATGGTTATAGAACTTGATCCCATCATGTATACACCAGTCTAAATGCCAACCATTGGAATACAGGACAGTTTCTGAGGATGCGAATTATTCTGATAGGTGTTGAAGCAATACAAACTGTGGAAACCTTTTCATGATCATTTCCATGCCATAACACGCTCCACTGTACACCGAGTCTGTGCCCTCCTGTCAACTTTCCGACACGGCTGTCCGTCATTTCCATGCTGACATTTCCGGCGACACCAGAATGTGTACAGAGCCATCAGACATGCCAAACTGGGACTGATTTATGGATAGAAGCCTTGTCCTATGCTCCAACAACATCTATCATAGAGACCAAGTCTTATCACCCTGTATACTACCAGACACTTCTAACATTAAAGATGTCTGGACCAGGGACAGACACAGTCCTGGGCTCTAATGTATACAGAGCCATCTAACATGCCAAACTGATGCTGATTTATGAAGGAAAACATTGTCCTGTGCTCCAAAGATATCCATCATGGACATCAAGTCTCGTAACCCTGCATAATTCCAGACACTTCTAACATTAAAGATGTCAGTACTAGGGACAGACTCAGTCCTGGGCTCTAATGTGTACAGAAGCATCAAACATGCCAAACTGTGCCTGATGTATTACTGAAAACATTGCCCTGTGCTCCAACACTATCTATCATAGAGTTCAGCTCCTATAACCCTCTATACTTCCAAACACTTTCAGCACCAGGGACAGGCACCGTTCTGTACTCCAGAAACAGAATAAGGCCATTATTGAGTCAGAGGCAATGACCTGGTTGCATTAGACACATGTCCATGGGAATAGTTCCAAACCACAACTCTAGATCTATATCTGGTTCAGTTTTTCCCAACTTTTTTTAGAACATTGACTTGCTTGGCGCTGAATCACATACAAGTGATAGCTTTCTTTAACTGTATTGTGTCAGAAGCAATGACCTTAATGCATAAAACACATGTCCATGGGAGATGCTTTAGGCCGTGTTCTTCAATAATAGAAACATCCCGTCTCTAACACAGCCATTTTATGAGCGCTGTCTCTACTGCGTCCATAAACCCAAGTTATCGAGCTTCGCTGTCTGAACAAAGATTCACACTCGTTAATTTGACAGAGACACGAGCGACTTTTATGTTGACATGTGTATATACTTTACGTTGCGCTGTATATATGCTGTTTTAATTGGCAAATGCTGACAGTGTGTGCTAACATTATTTTATGGAGCTTTGATGTCCAGACAAAGATTCGCTCTCGTTTATTTGACAGAGACACGAGCGACTTTTATGTTGACATGTACGTATACTTTACGTTTGGCTATATACTAGACAGTCAAACAGTTTTCAAAATCTACTCAGTTGCTTGAGTAACTGTTGTCTTGCTTGTGTACAATGTATTTGCTGAAGTATGTAAACCAATGATAGCCCCCACACTACACTACTAATCAAATTGCACATCTATCAAGTTGCTTGTCATGAGTAACTGTACTTGAGTTAATAGATTTTGAAAACTGTCAGATGTTTCAAATAGCATCCAATAATTTTCATCAAATCTATCCAGTGGCTTGAGTGACTGTTTTCTTGTGTATTCTGCAATGTATTTGCTCAAATAAACCACGGATATCTCCTGCACACGACCTGCACTACATGACTTATCAATAATGTACATGGAACGTCCTCCGCTCAGCAACTTTCATCGAAGATACAAATTTCAACAAATCCTATAAACCCCGTTTCATTGGTTGATTTCCAAGGTCGGGAGCCGTGAGGAATATTTGCTTGCAGAGTGATGAATAGTTAAACGCGCCGCGTCGATATACTGTCGCGCTTCGGACTAATAAAATGGCCTGATATAATTATAAGAGCCGAGAGGAGCGAAGACGAAAAGAAACGGCTTTAAACAAAACCGATAAAACCGGTCAGTCGCCTACAGGAATATTTGCTCCCTGGGTGATTAATGTTTAAATGTACTACATCAATAGTTTTACTGTAACTGTCGTGTGTTTGGCTTGTAAAATTGGTAGATAGCAGTCGGGAAAGCCTGCAAAAGACTCAGTTTCAGCACATACTAAAGATGTATTTGATTGCTTGGTTTTCAAAGGTCAGTTTATATTAAAAGTGTACTGCTTACTGAATTTATATAAACTACATGTGCAAAATGTACATGCACATAAATAGCTTTACTGTAACAATGATGTATTTGACTTGTAAAAATACAGTTGTTAGACACAAGACACAATTTAAACACGTCCTAAAATATCTGATTGCTTGCATGTTTTTCCATTGCTAGTTAATGCAAGCTGTATGTACTGCTGACTAAATGATAAACATTTTAACTTTGCCAATAGTTCTGCTATAGCTTTCTTTTCATGGACTAATAAAATGGTTTGATAGGAGTTTCTCGCAAAGAATACTAATTCTAACAAATCACGTAACATCCTAAAATAAAAGTTTAATTCCTTGCTTTTCTATTGCTAGTTAGTACAAGATGCACATGTACATGTACATGATAAATATTTAACTCTGCCAATAGTTCTGCCATTCCTTGGACTAATAAAATGGTTTGATAGGACTTGCTCACAAGGAATACTAATTCTTAGCAAATCTCGTAACCAAGTCTGAATCATTGGTTTTGCTGCATGGAATATTCGGTTCCTGATTAATTATATAGCCTGTATCATAACATAGATCCTCCTTTCATCATTGCTGTCCTCTCACTAAGATTGGACAGTCTCTCACTAATGAAAAAGCGAGATAGCCGTTCGCAGAAATACAATTTGTGATCAGCTCGACTCGTGAGATCTGTCCGATTGGTTGCTTTTCAAGGTCAGATACAGCGCAGAAATTTGTTCCGCGACTGATAAAATCATTGCAACAGGACGTCAATGGTTTTTCCATTACTTTTGTCCCATGCATAGATTCTACACTACTTAGTAATTGATGCTGTCATAATAATGTTTTAATTTCGACATTTCTATTCTGTTAAATTTATTTACCATTTGTTATTCTGT